AAGACTGTTTTATCTTTGAAATATATTCAAATACATTTTCCTCATCTGTCTGTAAGACCGTGGAGCTTTGGGGAATTTAAACCTCGACATAGGGAGTTAATTGAATACAACACGATATAAAGTGTGTGTTTTAATACAAAGGCTTTTTCTGAAACTTGTTTGTCTTCATGACTATTATTCCTGGAGCCTTATTTTGAAAGGTTTACCGGATATTCAATCTGTCGTCTCATCCGCCTCCTAGCTTTAGCATTAGCGTTTAGCTGCTGCACGGGAACTCTGCAGGTTTCCTCTGTTTGAAACGTCAGGTTCAAATCAACTTCACTCCGTGTTGAGATTTTCCACCTGAAGATAAAACGTTGTTTCTGTTTCCGGCTCTTTTCGTCTTTCACCGTTGACGCGCTCATAACCCGACGAGGCTAATGCTAGCCGGCTAGCAGCTCACCCTGTCAGAGCGGAAGTGAAGGAGAAGTTTGAAGTTTGAATGAGTTCAGATGAAAATGAGAAGTTTAGTTGTTTTAAAAACTCAGCAGCTGATCAGCAGAGTCTCCAGTTCATCAGCAGCAGGTGACGTCATCTGTTACTGTCTTTGGTGTCTCTGTTAAACATGAATTAAATAAACTGAGGAACCATCTATTTATCCCTTAAAATCCTTAAACATTATCTTTATATCAAATGTCTTGTTGTGTCTGATCCACAGTTTAAAGTTTAAAATCTTCACAACTGACAAGTTAGAAACAGCAAATATGTGATTTTCTTACGTACAAATGTGAGTTTGAAGTTTGTCCTGATTTCAATAATGAGCAAAGCGTTTGTTTTCTCATTCAAAGACAGAAGATGTAAAACATGTTTCCTTATGTATTGTTTTTAATTCTGAATAAAATCATGTTGTAATGTTTGTGTTTGACAGTGCGATGGCGAGCGGCTCAGACCAGACTCCTCTGCAGCTCCTCACCGGATGAAGCAAAGCGCCGGCCATCCATGCTTCGACACCTGACCTCCAAATTAAAGGCCACAGGTCCGATTTCGGTGGCCGAGTACATGAAGGAGGTTCTCACCAACCCTGTGACGGTAAAAGATTCTGCCCCAGCCACTGATATCGTTCTAGTAACCTGAACACAGTCATCACTCACTCAGACTGATTTTTTTCTTTTTAGGGTTATTATGTGAGGAACAACATGCTCGGACCAGACGGAGATTTTATCACATCACCTGAAATCAGTCAGATCTTTGGAGAGGTGAGGCTGAAATCATTTGAAACTAGAACCAAGTACTGAAGCAGTTTTTCTGGCACAGATGAAAAGTTAACTTCAAACTCAGACGTCCGCTCAGCGAGATAAGAAAACCTTCCTCTCCTGCTGTTGTTTAAATGTGTTTTTTTATTTCTCTCTCCAGCTGCTCGGCGTCTGGATCCTCAGCGAGTGGATGGGAGCCGGTCGACCCAAACAGCTGCAGCTGGTCGAGCTCGGACCTGGAAAAGGATCGTTGGCGAGCGACGTCCTCCGAGTGAGAACTCAGACGTCTTATGTGTCCCAACGTCACTCTAGTCATCAAAGATCATAAAACATCTCTGGCTCAACTGATATTTGCAGATGACGTTGTGTCTTTATATTTTGGAGAAAATTCTTAATTCTTGGACGATACAGTAACATTAAATATACGTGTGTGTTGTTATTTCCTTCAGGTGTTCAGTCAGTTGCAGTCAGTTCTGTGTGAATCCTCGGTGTCTCTCCACCTGGTCGAGGTGAGTCCAGTTCTGAGTCGGCTGCAGGCCCAGACTCTGACCAGGGACAGCAGCCGGGAGGCGGACGCAGAGGACGAGCATGTTTACCGCCGCGGGGAAACTGCAGCCGGCCTCCCGGTGTCCTGGTACCGCCGCTTAGACGACGTCCCCACAGGTAGACGTCAAACATTTTGTTCTCATATAATTTAGATCGGAAAACACCAGAGACATTCCTGCATGACTTTCTTTAGTAAAGACAGATTGTATGATGATGAAGTTCATTCACTCACTGTCTCTTTGCTTCTCTCAGGTTTCAGCATCTTTATCGCTCACGAGTTCTTCGACGCTCTGCCCATCCACAAGTTTCAGGTAAAGTACAACAATCTGTTTGTAAAATGAAAATGAATAATAAAGTTTATCTGCGTCCTGTAGTTCCCTCCATCCCTGATCACCAGTGTCACATGTGTTATATATATTTCTACCACCAGATGGTGGTAAAAGTAAAATAAAACTCCTTCACACTGCAACAACATGAACTGAACAAACAGGAAGACGATCTTTTTGTAGCTGAGTTTTTATTAGATTTGACTTTTCTCATTTCACTCTGAACTTTTTCTTTGAATCGTTTCCAAACTCATCACTTGAATTCTTCTTTATCTTGAAGACTCGAGTGTTACAGCTTCAGAAACATGAGACTGTGTCCGTGTGACAGGAGGAAAAACAAAACAATTCAAGTTACATTTTACAGTATTTATCTTTTATTAAACAAGTGAATAAATAGAGTTTGTTTGTCGTGGTCAGAGGACGGACAAAGGCTGGAGGGAGGTTATGGTGGACATCGACCCGGAGAAGAACGATCAGCTGAGGTTCGTGGTGACTCCGTCTCCCACCCTGGCCTCGTCCACACTCGTACACGTAAGTACCTGAACAACCAGGAGGCAGCTGGTCCCACAGTGGGACGCACTCGATTTATGTGGACGAACTGTCTCTCACACAGATACATGATGTTTTTCTAGATTATTTCATCTTAAAATCTTCGTTAATCTTCTAAACTTTGTGTAAATAAACTGACTCAGACAAACTCTTTAAGTTTGTCTCCATCTGGTTTTTCTTGCCCGTATTTGTGCCATCTATACGTCCACAGCCTGTTTGATTCGGCCTCTGGCTCAGCGGAGTCACTTTGAACGTGGTGCCAGATGCCTGACGTTATCATCAGACGGTTTTAGATCTGAGCTCAGTTTCTGTTTATGTCCAACCAGATGTGAAGGAAACGGAGGATTCATTCATCTCTGTTTTCAAAAATCAGACAATGAGCAGTATTATATGTCGGAGTAATGTAATGTGGTTACTGTGTGTGTGTGT